ATATATATTATATATATATATATATATATATATATATATATATATATATATATATATATATATATATATGAGTATGTTCTATAACACGCTAAACGTTCTTGCTTGTTCTTTGTGATTTGCTTTACCACCAGAAACGTGTAGTTGTAATGCTATTATACCCATTTGTTTATTGTTTTAATGCAATTAAATAAAATTATTTGTATTTACTTTTATTTTATTTACTTGTTTTTCTTTATTTTTTCATGAAACGTGAAATAAAAGTGTTCCTCTGTGTACTTTTTTTGTTCATTTGTTTCAACTGAAATTTCAACTTGGTGTTTGTGTTGATCTCGTTTGTTGTGTGTGTAATATATAATAAACCCGAGCGAAAAAAGTATAAACAAACATAAATAAAGTTTTTTTTGTGTGTATTGTGTTATTCAGGTCCTGGTTTCTGTTTAGAAGATCTCTTACATTTGAATTTGCATGAACGTGCAACAGATGTTTCTGAAATAGTTGTATGCGCTCAGAAGGAGGCTCGCATAGATAAGAAACTGAAAGAAATAACAAAGACATGGTGTAATAAAAAAGTTGAATTTTCAATAGAAAGAGAAGATACACCTTTATTACAACCTCTAGATGATATTATTGAAATACTAGAACAACATTCAGTTGACCTGATGACTATCACCAGCCAGGGAGCTGTCATAGATTTCTGTAGAAATGCTGTTGAGGAGTGGCAAGGGAAACTTAGAGCTGTAGATACAGTTTTAACTGTATGGATGGAAGTACAAAGAAAATGGGAGGTATTTTATTTCATGCTGCTGCTGTTCATGCTGCTGCTGCTGTTCCTGCTGCTGCTGCTGTTCCTGCTGCTGCTGCTGTTCCTGCTGCTGCTGCTGCTGCTAATGATGCTGCTTCACCTCATGCTCCTGCTGCTGCTCTTGCTGCTGCTCATTGTGCTACTGCGGTTCTTGCTGCTGCAGCTGCTTCGCCTCTTGCTGCTGCTGTGGTTCTTGCTGCTGCTGCTGCTGCTGCTGCTGCTCTTGCGTTTGCGTTTGTTCGTCCATTTGTTTGCTGTTGCATGTGGCGCTGGTCCTGCTGCAGCTCTTCCTGCTGCTGTTTTCGTTGCTGCTCTTGCCGGTGCGTTTGTGTCTTCATTTGTCTGTGTATTTGTTGTTGTGTGTATTGCTGCAGCGACTGCAACCTATATTTATGCATTCTGAAGATATTCGTTCTCAGCTGCCGCAAGAATCAAAGAGATTCGAAGCAGCAGATGGAGAGTGGAGAGATCTGATGTATGCTGCGCAAGCAAACCCCAATGTTGTTGAAGCTTGTCAAACAGAAGGAAGAGAAGACCTCCTCAATAAACTCAGAGATAATATCGAAGCCTGCGAAAAAGCACTCGGAGGCAAACAAACCCTAAACCCTAAACACGGAACCCTAAACCCTAAACACCGAACCCTAAACCCTCAACCCTACACGCCGAAACCTAAACCCTAAACCCGAAGCACAGAAACCTAAACACGGAACTCTAAACCCTAAACCCTAAACACCGAACCCTAATAACATTTAAAAGATAAAATAATCAATGATGAATAATAACATAAGACGGATGACCACCAAGATATGAATATGAATATTCAAGAAAATT